CTTATTACGTAATATTTTCTTTTCTAGTATTCTCCTGAAATTCAAGCTAACCAACTTTGTTTTGTCCCTTTCTATACCTAAGGTCTTCACTGGCTTCGCCGGATCTTGCTAAGACAAACCTTAGATGTTGATGGAGACAATCCTGTTAGAAATAGAAAGTTGGCAAAGGTAGAATCGGCATCTGTCCTGCTGGCTCAAAAGCCTGCCTAGACTAGGCTGCTTTAAATTAAGAATAATGGGCTCGGGGTCTTGTGGCAGTGAGAATGGGAATAAATTTATTTATTTTACACAATTCTTCTGGTAATGCCTTTTTCTTCTTTACTTTGTATATAAAAATATGCAATGATGGAGATGGAGTACTTGGGATCAGCCGAGTTCTAAAACTACGGAACCAGCTCCTTTTACAACGAAGAAAGAAGATCTAGAGCAAGAACCCTAATTGTTTGGAAGATATTGTGAGAAAAGTTTTTAGTACTTGTAACCTTGAAATAGCATAGTACTGACTGACTTTCTATACTGGTTACTGCTATAGCTAGTATTAGTGCTGTGTTACTACTACTAATCTCAAGCCTGTAAACCAAGTAAAAATAATAAAAATATATAAAAAATAATGTTTTAAACTAAATAGAAACATAAATAACTAAAAAAATAAATACTTTTTTTTTCTAAATATCCCCTGGCATCAAACTACCTGCCCACAAGGGGCACCTATAAATGAGCTTTTCTGATTAGCGATTTCTCTACAAGGTAATAAGGAAATAAATTAGCAGACCTAATGATAAATCTAATGAGTTTGTAGCGTGCGTCCTTTTTTAATTCTTCCCATTTTTTCTTAGCCAATTCCTTATATATATATATATATTGCCTTCTTTTGATCAATAAAATCTATACATTTCCGTAACATCTAATGATAATTTTATTCAATTCACGAAACCAGCAGCCATAAAAGCACAAATAAATCATAGCAGGCAAAACAAACACACATATTTTCTCATATATGGAGTCTCTCACGCACACATCAATGAAAGAGGGAGAAGTTTTTCATCACCAAACTTAACGTTACCAATTGGCTAAGAAAGTGGTTCTACTTCCAACACCCTGGAAGGACAATATTTGCTGATGGAGCATCACCTATAAGTACACTGACGACTTCGGACATTTTAGGCCTGAGAGGAGGAGACAGATTAACACACTTCATTGCTAAGAGCAAGACAGTCAGAGCCTGCTTTCTGTCGTAACTGGATGCCAATTTCTTGTCAACCAATTCAAGGATCCTTCCTTTATCGTACAAAACACTAGCCTGGAATTGAAAAGCAAGATTAGCTTAGCTCCGCGCATTAAGGAAATAATCAAGTAAATATTACTTATTATTTTCTAATAAAAAAAATCAAAAAATTAAATAACTCTAAACAATTAAGAAATTATTTCAATCATCCAACCATCAACCATATTTTTTATATTTTATTTTCTTTTATTTATTTATGTATCTTGTTATATTATTATATAAACTTCACATGGGTTAAATATAACACATATATCAAATTATCTAATAATAATACCCTTTTGTATTATAAATTTCTTCTTGGTATTAAAATAGGTCAATCATATATACCGCTCTAAATATTAGCTTTTGTTTTTTTGATAGATAATTTTTTGCCATCCATCCAATCATTTTAAAACACTTTATTTTAAAACTCTTTATTATTTACCAAATATTTAATTTATTATTCCTTTTCAATGATAAATCAACTCATGATAAGAAAAAAATTATTTCAAGATCACGTGGATGATCAAATAATATCCAAAAAATTAAAAAACAGAGAGAAATGGTTCTCTCTAGCAAAGCTCAACAAGAGAATTGAGATTTTACATTAAGAGAAAAACATATAAAAAAAGAGAGAGATTTAGTGTAAGTTGATAACTTTTTGTACAATAAATAATACAAAAGAGACCACCTATATATATAAAAAAAGAGATAGTTCTTTCTAACAAAAAAAGATGAAAAATAATTAAGGAGTCACGATAAAAAAAAATTAGTTTGACAAATAGTGAGTTAAAATAAAATCAATATTTAAAAGTTAAATTTTAAAAAAAGATGTTTAGCTACTAGCAACAGTCATAAGAGAATAAAAAAAAGGCTAAGAATAGGCATGTTTAAAAAACTATAATTGTTTAAGATAAGCATACAATGATAATAGAAGTGTATGTTAAACTTAAGAGACATAAAATTATTATAAGTATAAAATAATAAAAAGTAAATATTATTGATTATTTTTTAATCAAGAAAACGAAGAGATAAAAGAGTTTATCATGCAAGATCCACTTACTTTATCCAGAAGAAACTCAGCTTCTTGGTTTGGTGTGTAATCTGCACTAACTTTCCCGCTAACTATTTCGAGTAGGACAACTCCGAAACTGTAAACATCAGCTTTAACAGTTATTGCTTTTCCCATTGAATACTCAGGTGCCATGTAAACTCTGCAATAAGAGATTAATTATTGGTTAGCTCTTATTTAAAAGAATTCCAGTAGTTGTCAATCAATGATCATAATACTTACCGCGACCCTTTTGCTTTGATGGCCATAAATGGATCTTCCTCATCACAAAGCGTTGCCAATCCAAAGTCAGACAACTTGGCCGTAAGAGAGTTATCAAGCATAATATTACTAGGTTTTATGTTTCCATGAACAATCTTGAACCTTTTCTCTTCATGTAAATACCTCAAACCTCTTGCTATTCCCAGACAGATATCAAATCTAGCTCTCCAATCAAGTTTTGTCGTGGAATTTGGTTCTACAAATCAAGATTATTGATATTAATTTATTGATATTTGCAAGGACACTATACTTGTACTAACAGAAGATATAAATATACAATTAGAAGCTCTCACAAACATTTAAGTGACGGAATTCTATTTGCTCCTGTGTTTTAGTTCTCAACAATTATATGAATTTCACAAGGCAATGCGCATTAGGTGGAAATAAAGATAAAATTGAGGACCGAAAGAGCATGATGAAAATTGGGATGGCAGTATTACCAAACAACGCATGGTGAAGGGAGCCTTTATGCATATAATCATATACTAGCAGATGCAAGTCTTTATTAGAATAGCCATCCAACAATTGAACAAGATTCTCATGATACAAAGATTTGAGGTTGAAGATTTCCCTTTGTAATTCATCTTTTCCTTGTTGCTTTGAATGAGGAGAAATCTTCTTCACTGCTAATTTTATCTCATTTGGCAATTCAGCCTGTATACACGTGAAATCAATTTACCAGAACTTTGAGAGAAAAAAGTGCATGCAGAAATCTTTGCTCAACAAAAATAAAAGACATGCAACTCTTTACTTGGAGTTACGGAAATGGCTGCCACAAGGGGTCCATTCAGAGACAGGGCAGCAGGTAAATTGGAAAAATCTGGCAACGGGAAAGATCCTTTGCCAGCCCAGAAAAAATCGATAGTCAATAGAAGATCATCTCCTACATATGCTGTGAAACTTGCAGTCCATGTCTTATTGGTGCCCCTGGCCATTTCTTTTATGTGAAGTCTTTTAGTGCTCTCTTCCCCTATATCAAAAATGGATGTTGAATGGTGGAAATTATTGAAAGGAGCTGCAGAAAAATATAGCGGTTACCTGTATATATACATCAAAAACACGTTTCCCTAAATTCGAGTAATCTTTATCTCTTTGGTAAAAAGTTTCAACGAAGTAAAGTTTCACAGTGTAACTTCCTTTAGATC